CTACTTTTATTTGTGTGCACTCACAATATCAGCATACGTTGTGCTTGTTTAGAAAACAAACAGGATACGCTTTCTGCTGTCTCGGTCTTGAGCAGGAGCGCTTCACAAAAATGAACCGAAACCCTGCGAATAATATTCTATTTCCCCTGGGGCATTCCTCATGGTAATTACCCGTGTCTGAGCTATGACGTGAAAATTGTCCCGAAGCCATAAATAAGTTGGGGCCGTTGGGCTCGGGCTGAAATGCAGGGCTCTAAAGCGCAGCTTGTTGCATTTAAGCAGCAAAAATACACACAAAAGGACACCAAAATGGCCATCCTGGCCACACAGTTAAATAAATGATAATATTCAGTGATGTGATATGTGAAATGTGGAGTAACGTCTGGTACAGTTGCAGCTTGTACTTATTACTAAAACAAGAAAGCAAACGAGTAGCATTAATAGTCATTCATTTTAGTTAACATATGCTATGATAATTTGAACAGATTTTTATTATTGTAAAATAATGGAACATTTAGGTCATGAATATTGTCTCAAAAGTCATGGAAAAGTCATGGAAATATATTGGTAAAAATGTGTACGAACCCTGTACACAATATTTTTTTGTTAATTGAAATAAAGATGAAGTAAAATTAAATATAAACATTAGATGAAAACGTTAAACAAAAATTAGAAGTGTTGCCTTGGCAACAAATTAAAATAAGTTGAAGTTGAAGTACTAACATGAAAATTAATAGAAATTATTAGAAATATTAATTAATTAATTAATAGAAATATTTTTTAATTAATTCAAATGACAAATTACTAAAACAAAACTTGAAATGAAAACAAAAGGTGTAAAAATAAAGGTTAATTAAAAATATGAATAAATACTGTTATAATATATTGTTAATACTGAAATTACATTGCAATAAAATAAATATGTAACTTTTATATTTAATGACTAAAATGCTTTTCTTAATCCATTTCTTAATTTCTTTTTATTTAACAAAATGTATTTGGACAGATTGCATGTGGGGCCAATCAATGAAATTTTGACTGAATGTTAAGACACACCCCTTTTGTTTTGTTTAGTTTTTTGCTTGTTGACTGCCAAGAAAGGCAAATGATTTGCCTTGCCTTGGTTTTATTAAGTGGCAGTCCTAGTTCTACATAATAGCCAGTGGAAGAAGAACATGCAATGAAAGATGTACAGAGAGGAGAAAGTAATAAAACCTGTGTCTTTCAGCTGAAGATTTGTGGCTCTTCCTCTTGATTTCCTCTCTAGTCAGCCCAGCCTCATTCATCCTGCCTCCTTTGTGAAGAATGACTAACACTCGTCTTTACTCTTGGCTGCTTGGGGTTTTTTTCCACTCTCTTGCTCTCTTTGCCTTTCTCTCTCTCTCTCTGTGTTCCTCTCTTGTCAAACAGTGCCTGTGGCGATGACCCTCTCTCAACATTCATTTCTGCTTTACCAGACTAAATAGGCTACAGTCTGACTAGCCAAGAAATGACATGGAATTCAGTCGTAGCACCTCACATTCTCTCTCTCTCTCTCTCTCTCTCTCTCTCCCTGTCTGATGGCTGTTCCCTTTCAACGCCCTTCCCTTAAGAAAATCCTTTTCATCCTCCTCTTCTCATGATTACGTTCCAGTGATAACAGTGTTTTCCAAGATAAAATACTTTCTTACCCAGCATTCCACTCAAACATGCTTTTACATACAACTTATGCTATATTCCATCTCAATAAATCACATCAGCCATCATTTAACTTTTCTCTCTCTCTTTTACACTCCCTCCATCCGCTCATTCATGTGTTACTGGCTCACAGGGAAGAATAGAATTGGTAAGAGTGGTGCTGATTTGTACAGTAGCATTAGATTTCATAGTTCTTATTTTTCTTGTTCATATTTGTCTTGAACGTCATCCTGCTGCATTTTTTTTAAAGCAATGTATGGTCCTCCAGCTCTTTCACATTTTATTTAAAATGAGGTTTTTTTAGAATCAGTAAGACGCTGCCCCCATCTGGTGTGAAATGATATTTGAAAGAAGATATTCAGATTTTTTACACGCTTTCTTTGTTCGTTGTCAGCACATATGAGGCTGGCTTTATTTTAATGGTGTAGAACATATGAGATATGTTTATGAATTGTCCATGACAGCGTCATGTATGAATTTCATTGCATTATTTAAAAAAAAAAAACTTTAATGAATAAAGATTGATAATGATGAATAAATGGCATTTATTTTAAGGATGAATGGCACAAATACTTTTCAAACAAAGTATTTCAGGGAAAAAAATTATAATATAAAAGCAAAAAATGATTTGTTGATGCCAGTATTATTTGTCTGTGCAATGAAATTAATACAATTGATTATATTCCGATTATTTTTGGGGCCATTATACAAAGTAATTTAACAAATAATACTTATAAACAGTAGAAATACAATGATAGTGTATACTGTAAGTCACTTATGCTCCCCAAGGCAGTAATATTTTAAAATATTATTAACCATTTTTAATTTTAATATACTTTAAAATGTAATTTATTTCTGTGATGGCAAAGCTGAATATTCAGCATCATTACTCCAGTCTTCATTGTCACATGATTTTTCTGAAATCATTCTAATATGCTGATTTAGTGCTCATTTAGTTTTCAATGTTGAAAATAATTGTGCTGTTGTGGAAACCAAAATACAGAATTTATTTGAAATGGGAATCTTTTGTAACATTATTAATTGCTGAATAGAAGTATTAAAGTATTTTTGAAAAATGACTGACCCCAAACTTCTGAACAGTCATTTGCACAGTCTGACACTTTCTCATATTCCTTATAGGTCCACCCCCAATGAATGGCATGGATGAGCCTTTATCTTCAGCTTCCATTTTTGAGCATGTGGACCGAATGTCCCGCCCAACGGATGGCCCTAAACGCCCCCCTAATAAAATCCAGCTCATCGCCATGCAGCCGATGCCAGCCCTGCCTTTACCCAGCCCTACAGCCAATGACAGAGCAGCAGAGAACGCCAAGCTCAACAAAGAGGTATCCTTTACAACCCACATATCTAATCCCACTGCATTTCATATGGCTTCTCCTTAGGGACCCATTTAAAACTTCAAGGTCAGCGTCTAAAAGCTCCATCACCAATAATTCTCATTGACTCCAAGATCATTGACTGTTCTTTCTCTTCCAGATCCAGGTGGCTTTAAGGCACAAGTCTGAAATCGAGCACCATCGCAATAAGATCCGCCTGAGGGCCAAAAGGAAAGGCCATTATGACTTTCCTGCTATGGATGATCTCATCGATGGTCTAGGCGACCCCAAAGAACAGGACCGAATCTACCAGAAGGCCCAGATGCAGATTGACAAGATACTTGATCCAGATATTCACATGCCCTCACTGTACACCGAGCCCAAGAAAAGGTAAAAAGGGCCTGCGACTGATAATTAGACTAATCCTGAACACAGAGTTAGGGCCAGTTCTCACCAAATCTGAATTTTCTACACAAAATCATGCCCAAATGCAAAAATGTATCTAAATGAACATCTTAATTATCATACTGTGATGTTCTAGAACTGTTCCATGGGGGAAGAAAGCTATACTTTAAAGCTATAACTTGAATATTTAAAGGCCAAATGCTCACTCAAAAGTATTTGTGTGTGATTTGCAGCAACAGAGGGAAGCGTTCTCCTAAACAGAGAAGGAAACAACAGCTGAACGGTGATCTGACGGATGCTGACCGAGATAGACTCATAACGACAGACAGTGATGGGACATACAGGAAATACCCAGGAGTCAATAACATTGCATATGTGGTCAGTGTCTGTTTTTCTCTCGTGCTGCACTGTACCTCTGCATGTGACTGTGTAATCAACTCCATGCAGTTTATTCCCATTCTTTCCATATGTTTGTAATTCAAAACATTTTGTAATCAGCTCCATGTAGTGAAATAGCAGGTGCTAATTTCCTACATTTTTTGAGAAAATAATGTATAATATTAGTTTGATATAATTTAATTACACTACCGTTATAAAGTTTGGGGTCAGTAAGGTTTTTAAGAAGTTAATACTTTTATTCAGCAAAGATGCTTTAATTTGTTCAAAAGTGACAGTAAAGATTTATGTTAGAAAATAATTATATTTTTGATGAATGCTTTTAAAATTTATATTCATCAAATAATCCTTTAAAAATCACTTTCCACAGTGTTTTTCAACTGATAATAATAAGAAATGGTTCTTCAGCATTAAATTAGCACATTAGAATGATTTCTGACGGATCATGTGACACTGAAGACTGCTGAAAATTCAGCTTTGCCATCACAGAAGTAAATTACATTGTAAAATATATTTAGGTAGAAACCAGTTACCTAAAATTGTAATAATGTTTCATAATCTTACTGTTAGGGTTGGGTACCGTTCACATTTTAACCAGTACGGTACCGGTATCGGTACCTGAATTTCGGTGCCGGTACCCAACGGTACCTTTTTTCGGTACTTTACTCTCTGTGTAATTACAAACACATTTATTTCAGTGAAAAAATAAGTCCAAAAGTCTCAATTTCAACATTTTGAACAATAGGGCCCTACAAACTTTTTCTTTTTCCCCAGAAATTCTTGTTTTAATTTTTCTGAAAATCAAATGAAGGCATTAAACCTTCATTTGAACATTTATTAACATTTAACATTTATTTATAAACATTTATTTTAAATCAAATGAAAATTAAACCCTTTTATTTTTTGTCAAACAAACTGAGGTTTACTGTTGAAATTAATACATGGAAGAAAAATTGTGTGAATATTCCTTTAAAACATTTTTTAATAGGCTAATAATTGTGTCTTTTTCTACAATTAAGTGATTAATCTGGTTGTAATATTTATTTTTATCATTTAATTGTTTTATTTAAATTTGATAGAAAATGGAATATTTAAAGATGTACATTATACTGTACAAAAGTAATACAAGAGTAATATATTTGTTACATGTTAAACCGTACTTTTATTTTGACAGGTTGCCATGAAGTTTCTGTGTGTATACAGTATGATGATACTAGTTTTCTCAAATGAAATGTAAAATTCTCACGAAGTGACTCTCACAGCAGCTCTGGAGATTAAGTTTTTGTGTTCATGCCGTCATATAGTGAGACCCAGAGGCCGGAAATCACCGCGAGAGCATCACGCATGCTTCAGTATTTGTGTAGTAAACAAAACCGCATTTCCGCCATTCATACATACAGAGGCAAGCGGAACATGCAGGATTCATATTTAAACCGTCTTTTTGCATTTTAATATTCACAAACACTAGTTCATATCGCGATTAGAATTAAGTGGCAGTGGCTACTTTTGATTTATTCGTCCAAAAATTTACGAATTCCGTGGCATTCCACGCTATAGAGTAAATTACGTTTTTATGAATGGACTCCGCAATCCCGTCCGCTTTTCTAGAAATGTAACCACACTTCAGAACATTTCGGCTTGCCCTGTGTGTTGTTTGAACGAGTTGCAGGGGTCACCTCACGTCACAGGGTCTCTCTTTCTCTCTCTGTAGCGTATGCGCCCAGATGCGTTCTCGGGTACCGAAATTTGGCACCGATTGATTTAACGTGAATCGGTACTCGGTAGTACCGACGCAATTTGGTCGGTACCCTTAAAAGTACTGAGTTCGGTACCCAACCCTACTTACTGTTTTTTACTCTATTTTTGAACAAGTGATTTACTTGTTCAGCCTTATTGAGCATAAATATCTGTTTTTATTTTGCAGTCGGACCCAGACCAGGGTCCCGAGCATCGTAGTCCGTCCCCGATGGATGATGTGTTCCATGGTCCGATTTCTCCTCCTCCTGGCCACCCTCCTCCACCACCCCCATACCTGTCCCCTCAGCCATCTATAGAGGAGGCCCGGCAGCAAATGCACTCTCTACTGGATGATGCCTTTGCCCTCGTGTCTCCTTCGTCTCAGGGCAGCACAGCTGGCATCACTCTGCCTGGTGTCGGGCTTAACCCTGGACCCCCACCTGCCTCCAGCCCACCATCCCGTGGACCGCGGCCCTGGGGCCCAGGATACCTGCCCTTGAATCCTTACACAGGGGTAAGAAAAATCTGCTATGCTTGGGTATAGAGATTTGAACAAATTGTTAATGCTAAGCCTTTGGCTCATAAATCGTTCTATGCAATTGTGAATGGTGCCTTAAATTGTGCGGTTTGTTAAGGAGAGATGCTATTATTACTTTTCTAAGCGAATAGATGTATGATTTTCCAGAACACATCCTGTCTGGAAAAACCACTAGATGATCCACATTCATGTGATTAAAAAGCACATGATGAAATCTGATGTATTACTATTTTCTTTATACAGTCCAGCACTTAAATGATTTCCCCTTGTCTAAACCTGGGGTTAATCTAGACGTCACGCTCCATTCACTTCCATTCAGAAGCTTTGTCTTCCATTGCATACCAAAATTTGGTGAACTCTAAGCTGCAAATTTGCTTTTGTTTCTAAATTAAAAATAAAAGAATTAATACATTTGAAATTATTTATTTTGGGATAACAGCATTGTAATGTACATTATGAATAGTACTTTTGCTTAATCAGGGCACTTATAACGGTGTTATTAAATTATTTGTGGTTTTAAAGATTAAATTAAAGTAAATATAGAATGTGCAGGACAGCAAAGGTAATCTAAAAATACTGTAAATGAGCATTTACAATTAAATATCCAATATCATTAAAAAAATCTCTGATATCACAACCACAAGCATATCAACATATGACCGTCCATATTTACACATTAACATTTGTGACCCTGGACCCTAAAACCAGTCATAAGGGTAAATTTAGATTTATACATCCTCTGAAAGCTGAATAAATAAGCTTTCCATTGATGTATGGTCTGTTATGATAGGACAATAGCTTTGTCTTCCATTGCATACCAAAATTTGGTGAACTCTAAGCTGCAAATTTGCTTTTGTTTCTAAATTAAAAATAAAATAATGAATACATTTGAAATTATTTATTTTGGGATAACAGCATTGTAATGTACATTATGAGTAGTACTTTTGCTTAATCAGGGTACTTATAACGGTGTTATTAAATTATTTGTGGTTTTAAAGATTAAATTAAAGTAAATATAGAATGTGCAGGACAGCAAAGGTAATCTAAAAATACTGTAAATGAGCATTTACAATTAAATATCCAATATCATTAAAAAAATCTCTGATATCACAACCACAAGCATATCAACATATGACCGTCCATATTTACACATTAACATTTGTGACCCTGGACCCTAAAACCAGTCATAAGGGTAAATTTAGATTTATACATCCTCTGAAAGCTGAATAAATAAGCTTTCCATTGATGTATGGTCTGTTATGATAGGACAATATTTGGCCAAGATACAACTATTCGAAAATCTAGAATCTGAGGGTGCAGCTATTGCTACAAATATACCCCAGCGACTTAAGACTGGTTTTGTGGTCCAGGGTCACATTTAAGAATGTATAAAGCATGTCTAAATCCATATTTTCTTGCAGATGCAGTGACTAAGTGTACTTGTGATTTCTGGTTATGGGGGTTTGATTCAATCAGCTAATTTGTTGATTTTATTATGAATGTGTTTCGATGTGTGTTAAACCGTACTGGAGTGATTTAAAGCAAACTGGATGCACTGGAATCTCATCAGAAGAACACAGAGTTGGGGTTTTCCACGGATTGAGAATAAACTACCCAGAATGGAAGCCTCATCTGTCAACACTGTGTCCTGAATGATGTATTTCTGTCAGATTGAGGCTTTTTCATGGAAGGGAAAAGAGGGGATTGCAAAGGCCAAAATATGAACTGTCTAATAACTCAAAGGTTGATTTAAGAGTCAAGATGGAGCAGGGAATGGTGTGCTGTCCTTAAGATGGCATTTCCAGCTCAGCTATTTAAAAGCTCTTCTGTTTTCTGGGTCACAGGGTTTATTTAGGCTGATAGATAGAGAAGCTTCGGTTGTGGTGGCACATACAGCTGCTAATGTGTTTCAGACTTAGCAGTGTATTAAAATAAGCCTTTTATGCATTGAAGTGCAGTGGATGTGCAAGAATTATCAACATGTTTAAAGCTCAATGACAGCATGTTTGTGTGTATTCTTTCAGAGATATGCTGAATTAGGTCTGCCACCTTCCAGTGTGCAAGGTTTACTACATCGGTGAGTACATTAAGTCTGATCAGGAAGGTTTGTGTGATCTTTGGGAACTGCGAATGACGCTGCCAATCACATTACAGCCTTCACTTGTAGTCTTTACAGCTTTAATGGATGTAATGTGAGAAATCAAGTCACTTTTTATTAGAGTACAGTGTGGTTTGCTAATAGCTGGGGTCTGATGTCTTTGTATCTCTACAGACAGGGTTTAGGGTCCGGCTACATCCCATCAGGAGAGGCCCTTCCTGTTGAACAGCTACAGCCGGAGTCGCTTTACGCTGGTCGAAGGGGAAACACAGATGAATTGCCCTCCTCTGCCAGGCCACGGCCTGTAGGTGGGACTACAGGTAAGAGCTTAAAGGCTTATATGCCGCAATATAAAGTATACTATACACAATATGTTGCAATATCAAGTATACTTTATGCAACATACATGTCGGTTCACAGGTGCCCAGCTACATCATTTAACCCACGCTGGTCTGACAGGTCGTGTAGGTGACAGCCGGCAGCCTGGTGGGTTAAACTGGAGCCCGTATCATGAGGACGACAACAAGCTCGCTAACAGCAGAGAGCCTGTAAGTCTCAAATACTCTCCTACTTGGATTTTAAGGGAACAAATCATTTTTTGAAATGGTGTTTAGACTCATATATTGTGAACATGAAGCTCCATCCTCAGTCCATATAGAATATTTCTTGAAGTTAAGCAAAATTTGAATATTTAAAATTTGAAAAAGTATCAACATAACAATCATGAGAACATTCTGATGGTCATAATCAGTTTTACCACTTATTACACAACTACTTACCAAATAAGTATATAGAAATTTAATAGTGATTTGATTTAATTAGCCATATACTCTTTCTGTACCAGGGATTCCCAATTTTTTTTTGTTAGCCCCCTTTGACCTCAAATATTTACTTGAAGTACCTCCTCAGATTTTAAGTTAATATTTCAATATTCACATGTTAATTGTTCTCTGATGTTCGTTAATATTCTTACATGATCTGCATGTAAACAGTATGTTAACTTTTTAGTATGTGATTTTTTTGATTATTAATTTTAATTTGACTTTTTTTTTAATTAATTAATTATCAGCTTCCAATCAATTCACGAACCCCCAGTTTGGGAAACCCTTCAATATGTATACTGTCTATAAAATATAAATGTCCATCACAACATCCACATAGAAACAAAATAATTTAATAAAAAAATACTGCAATTTTAATTAACATTACATTAATTATGATTATAAATAGTGGCTTTTATCTGTTATTAGACTGAAAATAAAGTTAAACATCTCTTAAAAAAAAAAACTTTATCGTAAAGATGAATGTAACATAAAACTATAACAATCAAAGAATTATAAAACACAAAGCTGAAAAATATATCATGCATGGCCTTTTGGTAAAAGAAATCTTGACAAACATTATAAACAGGCTTTGGGGAAGAAATGTTACATAAAAAGTGTATAAAATGTCCTACTTCCATAGCTATTCTCACTCTTTTCTGCCTCAGTAAGAGGCATTTTCTAACTTTACTTTAAGAGTCTTTTAAACTCTTTAAACTTAAAAAAAAAAAAACTTTCCCTCATTTCTTCCTTCCTTCCTTAATTTTTTGTTTAGGTTCTTGGCTCTCTTGACTACACCTCCATCTCTGTATTCCAGACCTCCAGGAATGGCCTGAAGGAGCCATCTGCTGCTCCTGCCCACCTAGACATTCTCGGCCTGGGCTACGCTCCCTCTGCTCCCCTGGAGGAGCCTTCCCCTCCCAACCACTCTTCCGCCTCGCTCATCAAAGCCATCCGAGAGGAACTGATGCGTCTCTCCCAGAAACAGGCAGCGGTACCCAGCTATCACAGCTGAGACCTGCCCCCTCCAGCTCCATCAGGCAAAAACTGCACTACACTGCACTGTACTTCCCATGGAAGTGGCTTTTTTGAGAGGACCTCAAAATCATGTAGCCTCTGCTGCCACCTGGTGGCAGAGAGCATTAGGACAGGAAGAGTAGATGATTATCCTTTATTCCCATGTTCCTGTTTGGTTTTCCCTCGTTGTTCAAAACATAAGCAGCGTCCTGAGACTGAAGAACGATGTTTTTTACCTTCTTTACAGGCGACTTTATAATTTGGTAGCAACTGCTCTATACAGACCGGGATAACAAAGCTAAAATATGGCTGCCACACATTCCTGTGGTCTACTGTTGTGCGTGTGATTTTCACATTGTGTTGTTTTTTTTTGCTGTGTACACTGCCTTCACATTTGAATAATTTTATACCCTGCACTGGCTCTTGTAGATTCTCATCACTGAACGCTGAACTGCTTTTGATACCTTAAATTAATCTCAATGATCTACAAAAAGTTTTTGTTTTGTTTTTGTTATGTTTTATTTCTCAGTGCATCTTCTTCCCATTCACTCATGGCTCTGATATTTTATCTCAGTTTAATAGCCATCAAGCATTTACCTTCATAATACAGTATTGAGCCCTACACAGTATTGTCTTATACTTTAGGGTCCAGTCATAATATTTGAAGTAGTGATGTTTTCCATCTTCTTATGCCTTTATTTGGTTTGGCATCTACAGGAGAGCTGGACGTACTGTACAGCTGTTATGTCCAGTGCATTGGAGGAAACTGTGTTAACATTAAAGAAATGTTCCAGGTTCAGTACAACTTGACATATTGTAAACCAATAAAAATGTGTTTTCAGTAATGTACTTACAATACAATAATGGACTGGTGGTGAATGAAGGATTCCAAGTTGCCCGCAAGTTGATTGGCTGATTTAAACGTAAAAATAAATAAAAATAATAAATAAAAAAAGGTAAAAAATTGTAATTAAATAACAAAATGATTATAATTTATAAAATAAAAAATATATAAAATGTCATAGCAATTAATTCACATTAATTTGGATAAATTAATTTCAGAACTTTAAAAGTTTGAGGTTGGTAGGATTTTTTAAAATGTTTTCAAAAAGCCTCTTAAGCTCACTAAAGCTGCATTTATTTCATCAAAAATTAAGAGTATTATTACAGAAAAATACTGACGAGTATTATTATCAAATATTATTAGACTACAATTTACAACTATTAGACTAACTGTTGTGCTGCTTAATATTTTTGTGGAAACTTTTTTTTTCAAGATTCTTTGTTGGATAGAAAGTTCAAAAGAACAGCATTTATTTGAAAAAACTTTTTTTTAACATTATAAATGTCTTTACCTTCACTTTTACTAGTGAAGACATAAATACATAATACATACTTGCTGAATAAAAAGTATAATGTTCTTTAAAAAAAATTACTGACCACAAACTTTTGTATATTTCAATATACAGTGTGTATATATATATATAAAACATTTTTTTTTGTACACTACTCATAACTGTTGGTAATTGATTGGAGGTAGTTTGTGGTCTGCCATAGATGAAGGTTTTTAGGTCATCTGTACATTTTGTTTTACTGAAGAAGTTTTAGAATTTCTGCAGTAGAGTTCCACTTCAGTAAAAGCAAAAAGTGCACATTTTTGTCTTTTAAATCCGTCAGGAATGCCTTGCCCCATTGTAAATGCATTACTGTGAACATGTTTTTGGACGAGTCAGAATCATTGTCTGTGGTAATCAACAGTATGTGACAGATGCTGGAGAGCATCTGCATATAGAGCTTAACTCATTTTGATCGCAGAACATTCCTTAAACTGACCAATTTGTCCATCTGTTTCTCAAAAACAGAGATTGGGATAATTCAGTTCTGAATAAGTCAGTACTTTCAGTATTACCACTGTGTAAATAGTATTGCAGTTTGAATTATTTAAACTCAAACTATTGATTAACATCAGGCTTTCTGCCAAACTGCATTTTCATCATTTCATAGCAGAAAGTTTTTTTTTTTTATTATAATAATTATTATTCCAGGATGCATTATTGCTCATTAAACTGCTGTTTATTAAAAGGGTGCAGTATATTCCTCTGTCTTCATGCTTTTGATGTGTTAGAAAAGCATAAATCTGTAGTATTAGACTCGGCTATTTGTACTTTATTTCATGCTGAAATTGTGTTCTTGCCGTCTGTGCTAAAACTATTTTTGTGTTCATGTTGCAAACAGAAGCATCATTTGCTCTAAGAAAAAGAACACTTCTGTTGAGGACTTGATCTGCCCTTGTTCGTTTGTTGGAATTAGTTTTTTTATTTTTATTTTGTTAAGTTTGTCTCATTGGAACTACCTTGACTTGTAGTTAAAAATCTGCTGACTCTTTATTTAAGTGACGATTAAAAATGATTACCGTATGGTTGACTGTTGTTTGCTTTATCAAACTTGACTAACTTACAGATACTGAGTGCTGAAACCTGATTGGTGTTCATGTTTAAATCAAATTACTTCATCAGAATTTAAACACATATAATTGCTGTTCACTGAGATCTTATTAGGCTCAATTCAGATTTCAATTTCATATATATACAGATGCATCTAAAAAAATTAGAACTTAACTTGACTTCTAACTTCTTAACTTCTAACTTAATTTCAAAAGTGTAACTTTCATATATTCTAGATTCATTACGTGTAAAGTAAAACAGTTCAAAAGTTTTTTTGTTTTAACTTTGATGATTAGAGCTTACAGCTCATGAAAGTCAAAAATCCAGTATCTCAAAATATTAGAATATTTACATTTGAGTTTCATTAAATTGCCGTACCTACAGTATAAATTCCGGGTATCTCTTGTTCTTACATTTTCCCCTAAAAATTAGTCACCTACTTTATTTTACATTTACAGGATAAAACCCATAGATGGCGCCAAATGCTTGTTAGTTTATACCCATTGACTTCTATTGTATGGAGAGAGGGGGGAAAACTATTTATTACAATATCTTTTATGTTTGACAGAAAAAAATACAGTTTTGGAATGGTATGAGGATGAAATGATGACAGTTTACATTTGTGGGATGACTATCCCTTTTAATTTAAATTAAATACCAACTTTTTCCTCATTTTTTTTCTTCATATGCTTATTATGAAATAATGTGAATATGTTATGAAATACTATTGTATCCACAGAAAATAGGTTAATTGCAACCCATGCATATTTTTATTCAGCTTATTTACTTTTGTGGGTTTTTTTTAGTTTTTTTTTAGATAAATTCTGCATATGCAACATTATAAACTGCAGTATTTAGAATTTCAAATTGTGTCTTTTTTCCATGCACTAATAATAACTAACCATTGAACAACTGGATCGTATCATCAGACGAACCAAAATAACTCCAGGCTTGTTGTTTTCTTTAATTATGCAGGTCTAAATAACCAGGCTTTCATTGAAAAATTCCACCCATCTGCACAGCCTGTCCTTTAAAATACACATAAAAGCATTGTTATTAAGTCATAGTAACTTCACATGACGATTCAGACGCTCAGACTCCCTGAGCTCATGTTTCTCTGGTGCACATATGGTACCTCGGCTCCTCGTGGAGTGGAAACTGCAGTCCTGTTTACATTCTCGAACAAAAGGGCTCATCAATGTTTCAGCGGCTCTGCATTGTTCAATTTGTCCACCTTGTGTTATGTGGCGACCTATAGTGCTAATATTTGCCTTGTCAAATGTGGACATATTTTCAGACCAGTCTATATTTACTCCCAAAGGGGTAACTAATAGACGGTGGCTCCGGCGACCATAAATGCTTGTCAGTACATTCAGCAGTAGGCCTACACTATTTAAAAGACGATAAACATAATTATGAAGTTACATATAGAGATGCATGTAAATCTTACTTAATTGGGTCTGTCTGCAGTTAAGGGTCCAAAAACATTACCTTTAGTTCACACTTAAGTATATTCTAATAATGTGTATTATTTCCATACTGTAAAACTATACTAAAGTGGTATTTTTTTCACAAGGTTGTGCTAGTATTGTGCTAGTCTAGCTAGCAGATTAGCTTAAATTTATTAGTTTTATAGACAATTCATATTCTTAACATGTTAATATTTCACATTCAGTGACCCCTGACTAGTTGACCGTGTTATTATTATAATTTTTTTTTTCTCACCCTCTTGTATTTGTTCAGTCCAACGACCGGTTCTGATGTCTCTGATAACGCTTTCTCACTCTTTTGCCCCTTGCCTTAACCTGCCACAATTGAGTTTCACTAAGAGCCTATCAGTTACTGTCCCTGAAATCCAACACCTCTGCTTGGCACACTGGGATGCGTAAAGACAATGCCACATGCCCTTGGCAGGGGGAGTACCTGCTCAGGTAACCAGACACTCGGGCACCCCCACGAACCCATCGCTCGCAAAAGCCCGAGCCTCACATTCATCCTCCGAGAGAGTGCAGGTTAAGAGGAAGAACTAGTATGGAGGAGACTGAAGTGCATTCAGCAGGTTTTTAGTTGAAAATTTGACAGGGATGTGTTTAGAAGTTTCTCAGATGAATACATGGAGAAGATTATTTAGACCTAGACTTGTTTATTTTGCTCTGCATAACATGTTGAGTCTATTAGCACATCTCTGCAGGTCAATATTTCTTGGATCTTTTTGCATGAAACCATGGAAAACCGTCAAACTGTGATGGTATCCTGAAATGCATTTGTGTATCAGGATCTCATCCATAAACTGGAGCCTCAACATCTGATTGGACACTAAAAGCTTGTATCTTCTGGCGTGATGCATGGGTTCCCATGCTCAGCGCTACAGAACTGTTTTGGTGGTCCTCCAGATGTTTCTGCTGACCCCGCTTCATACCAGGACCCAGAACTCTCGAAAACTGGGTCGGATCCTGCCATGGGCCTGACTGTTCTCACTCAGCCTGGTCCAGTAAAGCCAGTGAGGACTGACAGCCAGCCTTCATTTAGCTGCGTCTCCATCCAGACCAAGACAAACGGGACTAACTCCAAAACCAAAGAACCGGATGCAGAGAACCAGGACACACTTCATTCCTACCCAAGCTCAGAAGGGCTCTCAGAAGAAGACGATGCCCAGGACAGGAGCCCTGTTCTGGACACAAAATGGCCACATATTCCCCGTCCATCTATCATCAGGCCACAGAAGGTAAGAACTCTATTAGTAGGATTTGCACTCAACTTTTAGCTTGTTTAGCATGGAAGCCCATTTCTGCCATGGTATAATTGCAACTTTTTATCTAAAATTTTGACTTTTTTCTAACAGTTTTGAGTTTATGTCATAATTTGGACTTTATTTCTCACAAGTCAGAATTGCAAGATATGAACTCAAAATTCCGACTTTCTATAAACTCAGAATTACAAAAAAAAAAAAAAGTAGTAAATTCTGAGTTTAATTTTGCACTTGATGACTTTTTTTTCTCAATTGCAAGAAAAAGTCAACATTCTGAGATAAAAAGCAACAATTACCTATGAATTTTTTATTCTGTGGTGGAAACTGGCTTCCATAGTTTGGCTTAACTGGTTTCTGCAACACTTAAAGCTCCTTCTGAGATTCTAGTAAGGTCAGACTGATGTTCATTGACTGAAATTGTTTCATTAAAAATTCCATGAAATCACCGGATGATCACATATGTATTTTCTGTCGAAGTTTGGTTGGTAAATTATTTTCTTCTTAAAAGTTACATTAAAAATGGCAAACCTAATGCCAGATAATATGTTTATATGACAGAAATTGTAAGAGTAGTATGCTAGTATGCAATTCTGATGAGTTACATCGCTGCAATGGACCATGTCTAGCTACTTAGTCAGTTGAAGATACTGTTGGGGGATGGGCATTCTGCATTCAGTATTTGGACAAAAATCTCTGTAGTGCAAGATGATGTCATCAATATTTTGGTTCTTTACCTAAGAAGAGCTAAAGCTTTAGTTGTGTCCCAACTGACGTACTGAATTTGTATAATATGCACTCTACACTACTGTCTAGAGCAGGGTTGTCCAAACTCGGTCCTGGAGGGCCGGTGTCCTGCAGAGTTTAGCTCCAACCCTAATTAAACACACCTGAACCAGCTAATCAAGCTCTTACTAGGCATAGAAACTTCCAGTCAGGTGTGTTGAGGCAAGTTAAAGCTAAACTCTGCAGGACACCGGCCCTCCAGGACCGAGTTTGGACAGCCAGGTCTAGAGTATGCATTTTAGAAGGTTATTTTGTAATACAGCATCAGAGTCTGATAACCCTCCCCTTCCACTATGCAAGGAAAACAGTTGAGTGTCCAACATTCCACGCTTTGTTTTTTGGTTGAATAAGTACAGATTTGAAAGAGTATTTTTTTCTTGTTGGAATTTTCAGTCAACACACTTTTCACACTCTTAACTACAAAATAGTGTAAAAGTATATGAATTGGGACACACTCTATAAATCTGAATACAGATGCCTCAAAGCTAATAGACATGGACTGATTTCATTCAGCTCTTTATCAGTAAGTGTGCATGTTTAGACAAGTCATTTAACACAAGTCAAACTGGTTGCACTTTAGCTAAAGTTCTGCATGACCAAACTAACGTTATCTATCGGAGTTAAATCAGATGATCACCTTAAATAACCACTAACCATTTTTTAGGCTTGTTTGATATGTTTAAAAGAATGAAGGCTTTTCAGTTGGCTTGGCCTTTTAAGTTTAACGTAATTGTGAGTCACTGTAAAGGTTAGGACTAGCCTAGTCTGCTATTGAGATTTATTGAGGTCTCAGTCCATGAACAAGACTTAAAGGCTCCTCATTAGCAATGCTATTAAACTTGTGTGTGCGCGGGTTTCTGGCTGCTAAAGCAATGTTTTGCTAATTAAACCATATCACTGTGAAAGCATTCTGTGAAAACATTTTGTGTGTGTGTGTGTGTGTGGGTGTGTGTGTTCTGCAAATGAAACAAAGTCATACAGGTTTGAAACAAATTAAAAGAGAATAAATGATCACAAAATTTTCTTTTTTGGGGGGGTGGTGGTGAACTATCCTTTTAGGTTACATTAAGAATAATCCTTCTTGGATAGTTTTCTAGTATCTAAAATTAAAACATGAAAAGGTCAAATAAAAGGTCATAGAATATTTAAGTAGCATATCTATCATAACATTCCATTATGATAGTGTAGATTTGGGACTATAAATAATGGACTTTTCCCCTGTCTGCTGTCTTTAACGTCACACTTAAGTAAAGTCGCTAGTGTTCTGTCCAAAACTGAAATTTAAAATCATGTATTTCCAGAACGTCATGGCATTGAGATGAATGGGAATGCTAATGGTTAGCTCTCTCCGGGTATTGTAGAGCTCCCTGAATGCTTCTCGTACCCCGTCATCACTGCCCATAAATCCAGCATCCCGTCTCTCCTTGAGGAAGATTGAGCTTCCCTGTGTTTAACCTCTAGGTGAACAGCCTGTCCTTCACATCCCCTGCAGTGTCAGGGACTCTGTTTAGATTCATGCCAAGAGACTTCTTCCATTCTTTGTGTTTTACCATAAATCCAGCATCCCGTCTCTCCTTGAGGAAGATTGAGCTTCCCTGTGTTTAACCTCTAGGTGAACAGCCTGTCCTTCACGTCCCCTGCAGTGTCAGGGACTCTGTTTAGATTCATGCCAAGAGACTTTTTCCATTCTTTGTGTTTTATTTTAAATAAGGCCTCTCTAAAGGCACACACACACACTCTCACATGGTGTTATAGTAGCAGCCAGTGCTGACGAGAGTGCTCATGTTGAAATAATATGTTAGTACGAGACACCTGGTACCCACAAAGATAGGTCAGTTACGGTCTCGAGTTCAAATGCAGTGAAAATGTGTGTGTGGTCAATTAAAGAGAAGTGGGGGGATGGATGCCATTAAAGGGCTATCATTTTTCAACGGGAGCTAACTGCTGCATATGTGTATGTGTGTTCATGATGTGTGCTCATGTACACACTCTTGAAACATGATTCAAAGATAAAACCATGCTACAGCTATCAAGTTTTCAAGCCCTATATATTCCATGCCACATAATATAGCCATGAAGAGACTAACTGAATATATATATATGAAGAAAATGTGAGTGGTGCTAAGGTGTTATGGGTGGTTGGTTGAGTTACTTTCACTGAGTTACTTTTTCAAATAAATAATGGCAGTTACATTGTGTTGAGAGAAATCAAGAGTAAGTGCAGAGATATTGTGCGCGCTGTGTAAACATGATGCTAACTGTAGTTCTAGACTAAATGTGAACATGCATTCAGTATTTCTCTAAATGAATAAAAACAAGGAAATGCAAACTCAATGTTAAATAACACAAATATCCTGTATTTAATCCCATTTTATTAACCAATGTCTTTGCTGCTGACCTTCGATGATCCGATTCAACCACTCTAATAAGCAAAAATTATTTTAGATAAACATAACGTTTATTTTTTTCTTGCTGAAGAGTGATGAACTTTCCTCTCCTGCATCCTATTCTTCATGCAATCCAGAATGGCAATGCAGCTGAAAGGTTTGTTTGAGCATGAATTTGCATTTCCTTCAGTCTGAAGGAATGAAAGAGCTTTTACATTTGCCAAAAATGTAACTTTTTAAAATTAAAAACAAGCAAGCGAGCTCAGGCCAGATGAGAAAAAGTAACGCAAAAGTAACGTAACATTACTTTTCATAAGAAGTTACTAAATTATGCAATTAGTTACTTTTTTAGAAAGTAACGCAATATTGTAATGCATTACTTTTAAAAGTAACTTTCCCCAACACTGGTGGATGCAAATGATTTGGTCACTAAATATGGCTCATGTCACTTTTTAATGCTGATTAATGGGGTTTTCTAACCTGTTATATATAGATTTTTTAATTCTATCACTATGTCCTAAAGTTTAACACTTTCAGTTAGAGGTCTATTCAAATCATTAACCACTAAATATGATGAGCAATAGTAATATGATGTTTAACTTGCAAACACTTCTGGAAACATGAACCACGGCAAGGTTATCATAAACTTTAGTTTGACACCATGTATTTGAAAATAAATCGGTGTGAAGATGTTTTGTGATGTTCAGCGGAAAATCCAGATGAATCCAACCACACCTCCATTATCTAAGAATGCTGAACAAGGGGAAACTTGAATGTGTGTGTGCATGTGTGCAATGGCTTGTGTATGAACTTCTGAGAGCCAGTTTTTGTTTTGTTAACAACACGTTCCTGTGTTTGACAATCCTCTGCAAATATTAAAGTAAGGCAAAAGATGTTGTTGCAAAGGAAGAGTAGGAAGAGAAGGGATAGTTCCAAAATGGTTCTTCTATGGCATCGCTGAGAAACACCCTTTATTTTTACATGTAATCAAAACATACACTCCATCAGCTCATGCATTCAGTGGGAATCGAACCCATGACCTTGGTATTTCTAGCACCATGTTCTACTGTTTGAGCTACAGGAAATGTTGAACTTGTAGAAACTTGCATTTAGATTGTCATTTCAATTTTACCCACATGTTTTCTATTATATTTATGTAAAATTATTCAGCAAGTCCCTTTGGAATCCAAGTTTCCTTCCTAATTCTGGAAGTTATAGTGCTATTTTTTCATGCAAGTCATAAGTCTGGAAAAAGAGTCATGTTGACTTATTGTAGCAGGAATGTAGGATTTTTCAGTCTGTCTTCAGGTGACTGTTATCTAGTCCTGTGAGTTTTATGTCACTCAGGGTCACAACATTAAAATGATGTGTTTAAAACAGATTGATTGACAGTGTTCTTGTTTCTCTGTGTGTCTGGAAATAGGAACACCCAATCCAGGACAGCCTGCCAGTCAGAACAGATTATATTGAGCCAGAGGATGGACCGTTATCAGGTACAGAAAACACACATACACACACCAAGGACAGATAATTACAAAGAGGTAAAGGATAGACAGCTATCAAAAACAACACAGGCTTCCTCTCCTCCTTTTCCTCTCAGAGTTGGAGATTTGGAGAGGAAATCTATTCAAGCACACAGTGGAAAAAGGCAGCAGTTCTGCAGCCTTTGTGGAAAATATAATCACATTGAATCATGGCCTTGAATTTTGGGCTATCTGCAGCATGATGCTTTGAGTACTGACCTAGTCTGCCGCTCGGTCAGGGACCTTTAATAAACAAGAGGAAACTCATTTTTATTTCTTCTTCCATGTCTCATTATATGGCTGGCCTGTGAGAGGATGTTTTAAGGACATATGGCAGCGCAACAAGACATTTAGTCTGTCTGAGTGCCGTCTGTAACTCAAACATTGGTTAAAAGAAAGAACACAACCCTGCAAAAGCATACTAACATATTGTCATTGCTGTTTCAGTATTTTCAAACAATATAGATGTCGAAAATAAACTTTTGTTTGCAAGAGACAAAATCAATAAATTGCGTTGCACATCACACACGTGGAAAACTAATGTAACTATAAAAATCCCCTGAAATTTTAATTTTGATTAGTATGCTCAAGCATGTTGCCGAGAAACATATAATTGCAACATACTTTGTCTACACCAAAAAAAAAAAAAAAATGTAGGAAGATTATGTTTTCAGGGTACTTTCAAAATTTGCTTTGCTTGAGAAAACTTTTTGTCGTTTGATTTAGTCGAGTTCGATTTGCATCAAATACAATGTGATTTTTGGTCTTCGAGATCTGCCAGCAAAACCACATTCTTCTACTTGGGCAAGCAATTCATAGACAGCCTTTTTTTGTGGCAACAACATGGCACATGGCAACAAACCAATGAGAACATAGAACCATAATGACGATTCACAGAAATAGAGCACCAAAGCCAAAGCTGTTGCAGATCCCTTCATAACTGGCACAGATTTGCAGAAAATTACATTTGGCAAATAAATAATTTATAGACGGTTACGTATGTATTCTCAACATTTTATTGTGTAAGCTTTATGTTACACTTCAAATGACAAGCAAAATCGTAGTAATTCCAATTAGCCAGTTCCTGATCTCAAATGGCTTGAATATGCAGAGCATTTGGAGTTTATATGGACTGAATGGCCCTGAAATTAGCTATAGAAAGTCCTTTACAAAAGTATTTTTATAATTTGCCCACTGCTGACCAATGGTGATTTGGGTTTGTACAGTAATTGCTGGCTGGAGGGAGCTGGTGTTTAAATTTAGGGGCAGATTTATTGTACACAGTTTTGTATACACCCTTGTCTGTATGATCATTGATATTTTTGATCCATTTTGCCAAAAGCTAAAGACTGAACATTAAATGTGTATATCTACCAAATATTGTTTGCATATTGTAGAACCTTAAAGCTAACTCACAAGCATTATAAACCACAAAACTCCACTTTTGATTTCATGGGGTTTTCCACAGAAATGTTTGTTGAGTTTACAGTAGATCAGTTCTGAGGATTTTTAGCTCAGTTCTCATATGCTGCATTCTTATTGTGTGTGTGTTCATTTCAATTCATGCAATGTAGACAATTGTGACCTTACAAAGACCTGATTAACACTCATCAGTGATTGATAGAAAACAAGCAAATTACATTATATACTCCTTCTATGCATGTTTTTTTTTTCTCAGAATAGTGTGTGTGTGTGTGTACCTACTTAACCATATTTTGGGGACAAAAGTGAGCTAAACCTGACAAAATCTCCAAAAAACTCCCTTTTGGGATGTCCTCATTTGTGAAACTGGTATAAAAATAAAGTAAACAAAGATTTTTTTTTTATTGTAAAAATGCAGAATGTTTCCTGTAAGGGGTAGGTTTAGGTGTAGGGTTGGTGTAGGGTGATAGAATATACAGTTTGTACAGTATAAAAACCATTACGCCTATGGAATGTCCCCATTTAGATAGCGCTAGATTTAGATAGATAGTAAACGTGTGTGTGTGTGTGCGTGCGTGCATGGGTGCGTGTGTGTGTGTGCGTGTGTGTGTGAGCATGTATGTTTTGGAAAACATGCTGAAAAATCATTAGTGGCTTCAGCACTGTTAATTCAGCAGAACAATAAACCACAAGGGAAACCAAATAAGTGAAAAATGGAACAGTTTAAGCAAAGATATGACCTTGTATGAACATATTTGATACAATTATCACTACTTTTATGTTTATTTTTATTTATAGATACATTAGATGTCAAAATAATTACTAGATTTTTACATTTGAAGATGAAAATATGTAATACTTGCCTATGCATCATTGACTGTCGCTTGGTGTTGCTATGCAGTTGCTAAGGTTGTCTGGGCTGTTATTTTCAATGATATTCTGATTTCTAAAACATAAAACAAAAAAGGTATGTGACATTGCTGAATATTACAAAAAGTTGTGGTGATCCAATGAGATAATATTTTACTATGTTCTTTGTACTTAAAGGAACAGTTCACCCAAAAATGAAAAATTGCAGTGAATGGGTGCTGTCAGAATGAGAGTCCAAACAGCTGAAAAATAAACCACAATAATCCACAAGTAATCCACACGACTCCTGTCCATCAATTAACATCTTGTGAAGTTAAAAGCTGCGTGTTTGTAAAAAACAAATGCATCATTAAAGCGATTCAACTTTAAACCATCGCTTCTGGCTAAAATATGAGTTCATAATATATAATAACGCTTCCTTCCTACAGTAAAAAAAAGTCCATCGCATGTTGTCCTCTCACATCAAAATCTAGCAACATATATTTTTTAGAGCTGTTTTGGACTGTTTTCACTTGTAAACAGTGCTTAATTTGTGCATATTTCTCTCCTGATTTAGACGTGACGACTTGTTTTTGTTTTTTTACTGGCGAAAGCAATATTATGTATACAGGACTAATATTTTAGTCGAAAGCCACAGTTTAAAGTTGAAAACATCTTGATGGATTTGTTTATTACAAACGCACAGATTTTTGCTTCACACGCCGTTAACTGATGGACTGGAGTCGTGTGGATTACTTGTGGATTATTGT